GACTCTTGAGAGTCCGCTGGACTGCAAGGAGAACAAACCTATCCATTTTGAAGGAAATCAACCCTGAGTGCTCACTGGAAGGACAGATCCTGAAACTGAGGCTCCAATACTTTGGCCATCTCATGAGAAGAGAAGTCTCCCTGGAAAAGCCCCTGATGTTGGGAAAGTGTGAGGGCAAGAGGAGAAGGGGATGACAGAGGATGAGATGGTTGGACAGTGTCATCGAAGTGACCAACATGAATTTGGCCCAGCTCCGGAAGGCAGTAGAAGACAGGAGGGCCTGGCGTGCTCTGATCCATGGGGTCACAAAGAGTCAGACACGACTAAACGACTAAACAACTACAAAAACTGAAAACCAGCAGCAGGAGAACACAAACAGATACACAATTATGCAATTACACAATGAAGACATTCAGTACTAAAATAAAGCAGAAAAATTCCTGAATAGTTGAACAAACTGAAAGATGTGGACACTGAAACATTAATTTCTGGCATGAGATGCGTCCTCTCAGCGCTGGTCCTTAATAGTCACATCATACTGTCTAATTCAGAGTGTTCTTTATCAATCAGAAGTTACATACACATAGCAATGTAGAAATATACTGATAATTTGGGATTCTGACAGAAGATATGACCTTTCCTAATTGCTGTGGGTTAGCTAGAAAGGTCCTGTAGCAGTTGTTTTGCTATACAGACAATATCACTAAGGCAAATACTGCTGCTGTGGGTGTGTCCTAAGGGAACTTAAGGATATTCTTCTCCTTTTGATATAAAGACAAACTTGACTCCTTACTGATAAGGAGACTCACTGTTTATGAGAGTATCTATGGGACTGGAGATTTTCAATCACTGCCAGTTTCAGCTGCTGATATTTCTTGGTAAAACAGAAAGCTCCCAATCTGGTAAAATCTACTACTGCAAAGAATTCAGAAACAGTCAAATAAACATACATACTTATTGAAGGGTTCTGAACAGGCTAATGAAGAGACCAAGGGCTTAAATTCAATTGCAGTTTTGAATCAGAGTACATTCCTTGGCCAAAACCCTAGTACAAAATGCTATGCCTGTAAGGGCAATCATGCAAGCAGTGTTTGGCTTTGGCTGGTATCTGTCTGTCGTACACCTATGCACACAACCATCTGTGCAATCCAGACATGTCTGGCCATGCAATAGACAGACAGCTAAATAAAGCATATTGCTTCCATAATTCCCATGAAACC